ATCAAAAAAAACCTTCAGGAGTCTCAGTTATTCGACAGAGGATTGATAGTGTAACTCATAGTGTCATAAAAACACGAATTAATCTCTGTGAAATATATAAACAAAGGCAGTTTCGGTGCACTCAGAGCATAAAAAGAAATCATTCTATCGTCCTAGGTTTCTAGCTTCTTTCTACCAATAGTTGTGTGAGCTTGCATGATTTTCACAATAGCTCTGCACCTAAATCTCTTCAACTTTTAACATAAGACCAGGAAAGGCGATTGCCGAGCTATCTTTTAGATAAAGGTATATGTTAAGAAATTATTCCAAGATTGGTTTCAGAGCTTTGAATGACAAGATTTTCTAATGTCTGTTCCAATTTCTGGGCAATGCGTGTAGACATGACTATACCAGGCTTTTGGTGTAATAACCCATCCCCAAACTCAGAGGCTTAGAGTAATAGCCGTTTATTCAACACTTGACTCTGTAGTTGGCGACTTGGGCTTGGCTCACTTGTGTGTGTACTGGATGATTCTGCTTTTGGGATTCAGCTGGCTGCTGGCTGTTGGGGTGATGGGGACATCTGAGCACAAGGTTTCTGTTCTCCTGAGGCTAGCCTGGACTTGTTCATATGGTGGTTGCAAATTCCAAGAAACAGAGTAGAAGTGACCAAGGCCTAGACTTGGAACTGGGACACCATTTCCATGGTATTCTGTTGCCAGGTCACAAGACCAGGCGGATTCCCAGGGGAGAGGAGTAGCCTGTGCCCCTTTGTGGGAGGAGTTGTGAAGTCAGGGGGACATGGATACCGGGAAGATGGAGAATGTTAGCCATTTTTGCGCTCTGCCATAGTGCCTAACTTGTTATTGAAAATACTGTGTGCTTCACAAATCAGTGGCACTGAGACTTCTAAATTTCATGAAAAAGTAAAAATTAAAACAAAATAGTGTGGGGAGTGCACATAAGTATTCAAAAATTGGCAATTTTCTGTTGTAATAGGTAAGAACATTTAAAACCAAATGCCAAAAAACCCCCAAAAAACAACAAATGCTAGTCATCCTCCTTTCCCACTATATATATATATATATGTGTGATTTACCACCAAAATGTATTGGAAGAATATAATTTCAGACTAAAGGAATGGCAATCTAACACTGATATTTATATGCCTAATTTATTGTCCTTTTTAATTTTTACTTTTTGGTTACATCTGACTGGTAAAAACGTCAAGAGTGGCCAACCCATGTGGAGCTGTCCTTGACGCTACACCTTTCTTACTGGAGTTTTCATTGAACTGTTCCATAGCAGCTGTTACTAAGACAGGAGTCCACGCAGACCTGCCCCTTGGTTGCACATTGGAGTTACACAAATTTCAATATGCTAGAAATAACAAGGCATTAGAATTAAGACACAGTGATTTTTCAACGAGTCCATTTACATCATCGCCTGTCCCCAACTTTCCTCCACTGCTCTTTTTACCCAGTGGCGTCCCTAGTCTGCGTCGGAGTGGTTTCCATTGGAGAGAGAGAGACAATGAATGAGGACCAGCAGCGTCACTGCTTGTCACTGCTGCAGATGGTCAGCGTGGGGCCTTTACACTGGGGACTCAACACAGTGCCTTTCACCACACGGATGGTCCCCTCCACCTCCTGACCCTCTGTCCTTAGTTCTGTGGTGTGCCGTGGCAGTCCACCGCTCAGAGAGCGCTGCCTGAGCAGTGGAGAGGCCATGCTTTCTGTGGCCATCTAACTTTTGTGTATGTGTGTGTGTTTAGCATCCCTAAAGACGTAATTCTTGCCCCAAAATTAATCTCAAACTTGGCTGGAGCCAGAGAGACCACCTCAGCAGCACCCTCAACTCTGCCAGTGTTCGCGAGCCTTGTCACTCCTCCATTCAGACCTGTAACTCGCGCTGGAGAACTGAGTGGGTGAGCACACTGCTCTTTTGCTTGGAAGCTGATGGCCAAGCCTGTTATTTAAAGTGATCGCTAATGTTATTTTTTGTAACCACTGTTAATCTGGAAAAATGAAGTAACAGTAGACCAATAGATAAACCTGAGAAAAGCAAAGGGAAGGAGGATGTTATGAATAATAGTGATACAATTAACTTAATAGGAATAAAATTACCTTTCCCATATTATACTGGCAATTTCCTGAACCAAATCTAAAATCCTGTGTTTGGGAATGTGGAAATTTACTCTCTCTGTGCCTCACTGTCTTTATTGAATTGAAAGAAACCTGTGGATTATAGCAACCACGTATGTCTGACCCTTCATTGGGTTTTTAAGCTTTCTTTGGCAAGCGTACCTTGGTATCATTTTATTTTTTACTTTACTCAAAAAGATAAATAGCTTTGTGATGAGGTGGCATGCAAATCCCTTACCATGCAGAAAACCAGCCTTAACTACTATTCTCTTTGAAATGGAACTGCCCTCTGTGGAATAGAAGGAAGGCAGTTAGAAAACAAGAATGCCTCCCCGAAACAGAACCCAGAATCTAAACCCAGTCATTCTCAGGAGGGTTGACAGTGTTTCCCTTCAAATTAAGTTAGACTTGTGTTTCTACCATTATGGTTTTAGAAATGGAAATTTAATAAGGATGGCCATTTCTCTCTGTTTCCAGATGGGCCAGGAGGTCTGGATGCTCCCCAAGCAAACGGCCCGTGTTCCTGAGCAGCAATTCTCTAATACAATAGATGCATTTCTCCTGGTGGCACTACAGAACACAACTTGGCATATATATATTTTTATTTATATATGTGTGTGTTTAGATGTATGATATATGTGTTTACATGTATTATATATACATATATATGTATATGTGTGTCTCTATATGTGTTTACATGCATGAGGTAACTGGCAACTTTCGAAATACATATCCAGACTTGTGGGTAGGAGCAGGCTGGCAAAGGTACGAGCATGTTGGGTACCAGCACAGAGTTCTTAGGGCTATGCTGATTGCTCCTGTGGACAAACAGAGAAGGCAGGTTGGATGGGTGGAGTCGGCAGCTCAACTATGCAGACAAGCCCAGGGACCTCATCCCAGCAGCAGGATGGGGAGCTTGGGTGTGTAGGGGAGGGGAATGTGGTGCCATGGAGCAAGCTGCGGGATTGCAGCACATACGGGAGAGCACTTGTGCCCCAGGCAGTGGGCACTCCATGCATGTGTCCAGCTGCAGCTTTAGTTGAGATTAATGTGCTTTGATGACCAGCCCTGTCCTAAAATTTCCAAGAGAAATCAGATTCTGATGCCAAGTTTCCCTAAAACAGATGGGCAAGACTTTTCTCTGGAGAAGGGGCACCGAGGTGAACTGCCACATGTCAGGAGGAGGCATTTCAAACTTAATTCGCAACAGGCAGAAACAACGTAGAAGAATACAGCGGGCCTCAGAAATTCTGATGTGAACATGGAGAAGGAGCCCAAGCTCTCTTCTTAGGACAACTGCCTTCTCCTGCTGCCCTGTCTGCTTCCAAAGTCCACCTGTTGTGAAATGCTAGCATTTGCTGCTGAACAAGGACACCAAATAATATGTTTTCACCCTCTGCAAGAAATCTCTGTTTTCATGAATTCCGATTGAGACCGAATATGTCATCACTTTTCCTCACTGCTACAGAAGGGGGAATTCTTTCGTGTCTTTATTGGAACAGAGCTTGTTTTCTCACCACTTTGTGTCAATGTCTCCCATTTTAAGCTCTTGTTTTTATTGGACACTTTGGGTTTTTCAGCCCAAACTGCACATACCCCAAACCCACTAGGTTGCAGGCCAGATGATTGGGCCAGGGACTAGCCACTTTTATTCCCAGATTTATGTCAAAACGGATTGAAGGAGAGATCCACACATCCCACCTGCATAACCTCCAGCCTCAGCTCCTGGACACTTGCTCTTTCCCAGGATGGTGAGTGTTGGTTGTGACCATGGCTCCCTGTTGACTAAGTCCCGAGTCAGTGTTATTTAGGACTTAAAAAACACCGTATCCCACTGAACCCCTAATATGTGTGAACTACCACCATGGAGGCTATAGACCTGCCCTGTGGGGTGCAGTTTGAGAAGGAAATAGTAGGGTTCATACCCACTGTGGGAGGAGTGCAAATTAGATGGAAAACATAAAAAGTACTTCACTGCAGATGTCTAAAGAATTAATGTTAGAAATGTCGCTGATACAGATGGATAACTGCAAAATTAGCAATGGAAACAACAGTAAAGTTCCATATTTACATTAAACACTAAAATAATTACAGATATATTAATAAATTAAATGTAATGCATAAAACTATATGTCTTCCCTACCATGGAATTTATAAGCAGTAGTATACACTTGTTAAAGGCAAGTGTGGTATAATGCAAAGGGCGCTGGTCTTTGCTTCAGAAACTGTGAATTCCAATCTAACTTTATTATTAGCTGTGTGACCTTGGGAAAGTAACTCAACTTCTCTGCAGTTAAATTTCCCCAGTAGTAACATAACGATAACAATAGTAATTTTATAATCATTGATACAGTGGCTAAATGATATAAAATATAAGACAGCATTTAGTACTATGCCAGGCACATAGAGGCACTTAATAAAGAATTGTTATGACAAAGAACAAAACCATGAACCTGGCATTTATGTGAGGTCCATTTGGGCTGCCTACACACCAGTGGGGAAAGAGCGGATTTGAAGAGGCATATTGAGGTGGGATGTAGGCATGATGATGGTGAAAGGGAAGCAGGGCACTTGTCTTCTCAGAATGGCCGTAGCTTTGGAGTTTATCCCCACTGGATGCGTCTTTCTGTCCTTAAGGGCTGTTCCTCCGTCCCAATCCCAGTGTGATAGGTAAACAAATGAATCATCCACCTCTCTGGTTAGGAGTCTTCCGATGCCAACACATAACTGAACTCCAGCAAAATGAGTTTTCAGGAGGGCAGGAGCCAGTTGTTGGGGAAGCGCTCCCCTGGGAATGTCCGGGCGTAGGCAGAGGGAAAGTGGAAGGTGGTGCGGGAAGGACGGTCAGCTGGGCTAACTTCTCTTTCCTCTCATTAGCCACCTTCCTCACCTGCGTGGCCAGCACAACCCAGGGGCCGCCTTCGTCGGGGACTTCGGGGGAGAGTGGCAGCCACTCTGCATGGCACTGTAAGTGAAGGCCAGTATTTCAGGGCAGGGGCTCTGTCTAGGGTGATACTTTCGCATTGTCAGTAACTGCCTCCCTCCCCACTTTTCCACTGGGGTGTTCCATATTATTCCGTCTGCCTTGACCTCTAGACTTTATTCAACAGATGCATATTGAGCACCTTTTATGTGCAAGACCCACTGTTGTGACTGAGGGAAGTCTGGGGGCAGCTCTTCCCAGCCCCGGTCGATCCTCATGCACAGCACTCACTGCTCCTTTCACTGGCTGTTTTGCCACAACCTTCAAAGACAGACTGAACTTACCAGCCCTTCCTAAGTGACCGGTTTGTGGACGGCTCTGCTGTAGGTGTGGTGGGAAATTAAAGAGGAGAACAGAGCTGGGCCTCCACGCCTTCTTTGGGAGCATGTCCCTCGCTGCTCTCTGAGCCCACTGGGTGGGGAAGCCCCTACGAGGTGGTGTACGGGCAGAGGGACTGCCGTGGGAAAGCCGGGGAAGAACACGAGCGGAGGTGGCCATGGCCGGAAAAAGGGGGCTGGCCATTGGTCCTTTCAGACACAGAAGCAGGACCGAGAGTCGAGGGGCAAGTGAAGCACTTGGGGGTTCAAAGTGAGAGCAGGATGGGCTAGGAATCCCTTTTGTAGAATTGACATGTGTTGCAGGGGGATGATAGGTGGCTGAGTGGGGAATGTGATATATTTTACCTGTAAAATGTTCAATATCCTTATTTTAAGATAGTAATAGGTAAATTGTCCAGAAGTCACATTTTCACTTGTAACTACAGTGTACTGTATAAAGACCAAAATTCTGACAGATTTTAGAAGGGGGTGGGTTCCTTGGAGCTCTGGAGTTGAGGGGAAGCCTCTGGGAAAGGTAAATTTGAGGTTGGACTTGAAAGAGAAGTGAGACTCGGAGGATGGGAGATAACCTAAAACTGACTGCAAAGCGCTGTATCCTGTCCTTGGACAACCCCTCCCTGCCTTGTTTTTCCTTAGCACTGGGGCTTCAGGGGACACTCCCTCAGCCGAGAAACCTCCTGGCGGGGTTCATGCCTGTGCCCTTGCCCAGCCTGGCCCCTGTCCGCCCACCATCCCTTCAGCACACCAGGCCCTTCTTTACTCACCTCCCCCTGAAGCTCCTTTGATCAGCATTACGGAGACAACCACAAAGCACCTTCCGGAGCCCAGGGATCTGCTTTTTCATCACTCCTGTTCCTCTGGTTCTTTCACAACAGGTGACACCCAAATCCTTCCCTGCCTCCCAGCTCTTTCTCTGGCAGCCCAAACACACACCTCTGCTCCCTTGCACTTGATCCTCGCAGACAGCCTGCCAAGTGGGAAACCTCCTCTAAAGTCCCTTCCCTTCCCTTCCGGGCCCACAGGTCCTCATCTTTCACCCAGGAAGACAGATGGAACTTCATCAACAGACTTTTATTGAGCACTAACTGTTTGCCTGCACTGGGGCTGGGCCGTAGACCCACGGGTACCCAGATGTGCGAATCCCATGTTTGCATTTGATTTCCAAAGCAGGACTAGTGACATTTTAGAAAAGGCAGGAGTGAGTTGCAGGAAGGTTAAGTGAATTGTATGAGCCACACAACCTACCTTGGCAAAGCTAGGACAAGACACCATGCGCTCCCTCTCGGCCATGGGGCCCAGCCAGTGCTGTCTCCTGAAGACAGACCAGTCTTGTGGGCTGGGTCCTGCTCTTTCTCCTTGCCGATGAATCGAGGGTTGGAAAACTTAGGTAACTTGCCCAAAGTGAGTGAGTGGCAGAGCTGGGGCTTGAACTCAGGACAGAAGGAGGGCAAAACCCATGCTGGGAACATCACATGCTCCAGCCATGGTTAAAGGAAGGGATTCATTCATTGTGGCATGGAAGCATAATTGACACTCGTCGATGGAAGACGGGGGGGTCTTGAGCTTGGTCTCAGTGGAAGGAGGAACTTGGTCGGAGAGGTGTGTGGAGTAAGGAAATGGGTGCCCTGTGAGACAGTGAGCACCCTGCCCTGTTAGCGGGGTGCCTGTGCCGCGGGAGGCGCTGGAGAGCAGAGACCTCCATTATGCAGGAAGCTGGCGTCGGTGTTTTTTCTAGTCCTGTCATTCTAACCTTCCACGGGGTCTACCATGGGATTGGCTATAAGTAAAAAAGCCAGTGGTACCTTGGTTTTCGAATGTCCCCGTTGACAAACATTTTGGGTTACAAACACCATAAAGCCGGAAGGAAATGCTTTGGTTTTTGAACATGCCTGGGAAGTTGAACGTGCCATGTGGCTTCTGCTAAGGGCAAGACCCTGAGGCCCAGCTGTCAGCTGTGGATCCCTCAGTTTTCGAACATTTCAGAACTCGAACAGTCTTCCGGAACAGATTACATTCGAAAAACTCCTTTCATGTGAAAGGAGATAGAGGTGGGAGATAGAGGTGATCTTCACTTTCAGGACATTTCCTTGAAGGTTTTAGGAGTTGTGACAAGTCCCTTATCCCACAAATGCCATCGGTCTCACTGATGATACCCATTGTGTCCTCTGTTCTTGCTCTTTGCCCTTGCACCCCCTCCAAGACTCATGCAAAAGTTACACACTTTCCTCCTGTCCCCACACTAGCCTCTGTGAAAACTCATTTAGAAAAGAACAAGGAAGGAGCGAATTTGACTCTCTGTTGTGTCCTTCATCCCAGGCCACCTGAGCTGAGGCTCATTCTCATGTCTGATTTCAGATCTGATCCAAGATGATTTTTAATCTCTGTATCGCAGGAATTTAGTTCCTTCTATGTCAGCTCCATCCCGCTGAGTGTTCCATCAACACCCTGAGCCCAGTTATCTGCAGGGATGTTGACCCCAGACGGGGAGTCCCAGATGGAAGCCAGGACATTGCTTCAGGATGGACCATGAAAAATGCATGTAGGATAGAAAAATGTGAATTATGTGTGAAACAAACAAAAGCACCAGGCAACATGGAATTTGTGTCAACAAAAGCTTGCTGCAAGCTGCTGCTTGCTTCCAAGCGGGGAGCGGGCTCTGGCGCCTGTGGAGCAGTAGCAGGGAGGGACGTTTTGCAGAAACAAAAGGGGTGACCTGTTTTGACTGCAGTTGCCTTCAAGCTCTTAAGCTCTCCCCGTTCCTGCATCTACCTCCCCCCTCACTTGTTGTGCAGTTCGGGAAGTTGCTGATTATTGAGCCAGTTATGAGCCATGAGAATGAGTAACTGACCTGTTCAAGAGACAAGCAAAACAGTCCAAAGGGTGGGGTCTCCAGTTGACTTTCTTGTTGATTATAAGCCACCTCCATGACCAGATTGCTTGGTGAAGGAGCGGATGTCGGGGTTCTCAGGAGGATTCATGCACTGGAATGTCTCGCTCGCGTTCCAATTAAAATATCCATTCTGGTGATATTAAGCTAGATAGACGTTCAGTGCTACCAACTGAAAATGTTGTAAGTGCTAGTTTCCAAGCAAGCTGCAGAAATCCAAAATGATCATTCTCTCACTGAGAGACATTTCTAGGTAGGAGACAACCAATATATACATTTTTTAAAGCAAATTATTTTCAGTTATTTAAAATGATTACCCTGTTCCTCTCTGGGTCCCTGCTGGAGACCCAGCCATCCAAGTGCCACAGACAGCTGTGTCAAATATAATAAATGACATTCCGATTATGTTCTGAGGGCAGGGGCATGCACACTGCTCTCAGCTGGCTCACAGCCACTCTTGCTACCACCAGAACTGCCTTCCTAAGGTGCTTTGGGAGGAGACCCCTGCGCAGTCCTACTGGCAAGTCTTTTGCATAAATACATCTCTCTTTACATGGCTGGTGAGACTTTGTGGCCCACAGGCCGCAGCCTCAGCCCAAATTCATGACCACCGCACACTTTCACTAATGTGGGAGGTACCACTTCTTGCTCTTGCTTCTCCAGATGGCTCCCGGGGCTCATTGCAGCCTTTTACAGAGAGATTGGGGGTGGCAGTCTGCCAGGCCTGTGAAATGAGGCACCCTCATAGAACCTGACTTTGTGAAGAGAGGATATTCAGTTTCATTCCATTTCATTTAATTCAATGCATATTTATTGAGTGCCAGTTATATACCGGGTTCTGTGGACCTGCCTGTAGCCTGGGCTCATTTCAAAATACCTTATCTCATCCCCTTTTCAAGTCTTGGTTTCTTCATTTATTAAAGTTTTGTAAATGATAATACAATCTGCTCAGGGTTTCTGTGGGCTTAAATGAGGATATGTGTGTAGCGCACCCAGCCCATTGCCTGGGACATGTGCCACTCAGTGAACGGCAGTGTCTCCTGTCCCCCTCTCCTCCAAATGCTCAGGAGCATGAACCCGTCAGTCACCCCAGGCACAGGCAGGAGATCTGTAGAGGGTGTCTCTGACGAAGATTTCCTCCTCAGCACCACATTTCTACATGGAAGTAGCTGGGTTGTATTGCCAACTTCATAGGGTAGGAGATTAAATGAGATAATATCTGTAAAATGCATAGCACATATTTAGTGCTCATATAGTGAACCATATATTACATGCAGTGTTATGACTAGTATCTAATGCACCTATCTGTACCTGTGTATTTGTATCTGTCTGTATATGTATCTATCTATGTATGTACCCATTTATCTACACATTTACTTTATTATTATTGCTTATTTTCTCGGCTTGAAACCTCTTGGATTCTGGAGGTCCGGTTGCCCCTCTAGTCCTCTGTTGTGACTTCCTGGCTCCTTAAAGAGTTTGGTATTCCGTCATTCATTCCACAGACACTTACTGAGCACCGACTAACTGCCTGCCCACTGTCACAAAGACAGGTTGGGTCACCAAAACTGGTCACACAGGTGGGATCCCTGACATCTGGCAGCTTATTTGTTTTTGAGGAAGCCAGAGAAGTAAACACATAATTTCAATACCATGTAATAAATTCAGGGGCAGAGGTCAACATGGGTGACATAGGAGTTGAGGTTAGGGACAGGCACCCTGTTCTGGGGCTGGTGGAAG